GGTTCCGCAGAGGTCCGAAAAATTCGGCCGAATGGCCAGGTCCTTGGGCCACTCCCTTGTGAATTTTTTTTCCCCTCCAGAGGTGAGGCTGGGCAGCCTTGAGTCTGAGGGAAATGCCCATTGTCACTCCCAAATCCATGGTCCAAAGCCTCGGGAGCCCGGCTGGGAGCCCAGACAAAAGCGGCTGGGGCGCCGGCGGCGGGCATGCTCCTCGCGCTACAAGTTGCCCGGCGCACCCTTGGAGGGCTCCCAGCCCACCTCCAGCCCCAGAAAGGAAGGGGGTAAATGACTACTTATGACCTGATTGATTGCCTTTGCCAACGGCTTTCTGATTTTGTTCCAGAAAGGCTGTCTTTGCCTGCATCTCAGGTTTTCCTACGAGACGGCCCCCTATCAACAACTGATGGCGCTCCCCACATGCCGCAGAAATGGCTAAAATTACCCTTCTTCTGCCCAGCCAGCATAAGTCTGAAGCACACCTATACTACTGTCCCAGGGTAGCACTGATTCCAAGCCTTCTCGCTCCCACCCCCGGGAAACGGCCCCCTAAAGGGTTCTGTCCTGGAACTCTGGAATATTCCTGGTTTGGGAAAAGTTTAAAAGTCTGAATAAAAACAGTGTCCCAAAGAGTCCCTGGAAGAGGGCTCTGAGGCTTAGATCGCCTTAGTGGACTGTTGGTGGGAGGAAAAAATGAAATGGACATGTTTGGGAAACTGCTCGAAGCTGCTGGAAACCTTTGAAACCACAGGCAGGACTTGGAGCAACGAATTCTCCATCAGCTCTTTCCCTCAAGGCCTCTCCTCCCTTTCCCCTGCCAGGTCTAGAGAAATCTGGGCTCTCTGGTGGAAACCCTGCAGAATCCGGTGAAAGCTGGTGGGAGTTTCCCAGGCCATGGCAGCTGATGGAACATTGGACTTCATGGGCAGTCATGTCTATTTGCAGATTTTTCAGTTACCCTTTCTGCTTTTTCTTGCACCTCAGATACAGCAACTTCCAATCAATTAATTGTAATTAAATAGAAGGAAGATTGCGGAAAATTCCTTTTTCCCATTTATTCCTTTGAAGAAATTTCACATGGGCTACTAAAAGGTAATGACTGAGCCCAAAACCCTTCCACAAGGAAACCAAGGCAAGGTGGGCTGGGAAAACTCACCCATCCTCAGCTTCTCTGAGGTCTGGTTGTCTTGCGCTTGGGGTGGGGGCGGGGAGGAGGGAAAGGGGAGAAGTGGATCCACTGCAATGCTAAACGGCTGCTTCTCCTTACTCCAGTAATAGAGGCTGGCAGGTTCCAGGTGGGAAGACTAGTTTCAACCCAGCCCCTGATGATTGCTCACCACCAGAAATCACCAAGAGCCCACTGAAAGCACGAAAAACAGCACAACCAAAACCAAAGAGGAGAAAACACAAAAATAGGGAGCTTCCAGGAAAAAGCGGCTTGGGGCACAAGCTTACTTACCAGACTCCCGCTAGTGGAAAGCTCACACCCACTGAGGGTGCAATTATGTTACCCTCACTGGGGGTTGGGAGAGACTCCTTTCTCTCAATTATGAAAACTGCACTCTCTGGCTGGCTTATCCCAGCTCTCCCCACACCACTGGCAAATTCCAGCTCCCTAGGCCTCTTCCAGTCTCTCTCTCCCATCTCCTGTCCCCTATTAGTCTATCACCCCCCACCCACCCATCTAGCTGCCCTGAACAGGCAGTTTAACCAGAAAAGAACTCACCAAAGACTTTCATTTCCACCATAACATATTTCCATGTCAGAAAGCAGAGGGAACAAACTCGTTTCCAGAGTTTATTGCATTATACATGCGACCAGAACATGCACAGAAAGGACAGGTTGCTGTTGTACTTCTACCAAACCACAGATGCACCACAAGGGAAAGGCTACAAGGCATAAGTCGTCAATATTCCATCTCACCAAGGACAATTGCTAAGTTCATTTGTGAAAAGATACATTGTAATGTGCTTTTTTAGTCCCCCTCCCCCCAAGCTTGTGGGTTTTCTTAATCTTGTTTAAATATATATGTCATTTAAAAAGTACTGGATGTATTCAAAATGCCATGACTTTATGGACTAACCACATACATAGACCTTTTGTGTTAGGAAAGACATGAAAAAGTCACATTGCTGGATGGGTGGATAGAGGGATGGGTGGATGGATGGATGCTCTACAGTTCCAATAAGTTAAGACCCAAATGAAAATGCGCAGTAATAGTTACCCTGCATTACGATGAAAAAATAATAAATTACACGTGCTAAGTTTTTTAATATATATATACTCATAGGGATTACAGATCACTTGCAGCACGAACAGAATGACCCCAAAGTCACATTCTAGCAGGAAAACAAAATAAAACAAAACAAAAAACAAAGAGCGATGAAGGTTTTGTTTCCGCCTTCCCAGTCCTCCAGCACTCAGCCCTGGAACGCGGTGCCCCCTCTCCGATCCTGGCCTCCGACTGGCCTCGGACCTAAGAAAACGTGAGGTTGGCGGTCAGTTCTCGGATCCGGTTCTCTCGGCTCATCTTCTTGAGTTTCATTCGGCGGTTTTGAAACCAAATCTTGACCTGCCTGTCGGTGAGGTTAACGCTCTTACTGATCTCTAGGCGGCGCTCGCGGGTGAGGTACATATTGAACAAGAACTCTTTTTCTAATTCCAGCGTTTGGTGCTTAGTGTAAGGGCACCTCTTCTTTCTGCCACTCTTTGCAGTGAGCCAATTGCTGGTTGGAGTATCAGACTTGATTTCCTCTAACAAAATTAAAGAGAGAAGAAGAAAAATCAAGAATTTTTTTTTCCTCTCAGTCTGTTCAAATGTACCCTTGGCCATGACCCTTGCTGGCAGCCAGGCCGCTTTGGAAAATGCTAGTATTAAGCATTACTCACACACGAGGTGGGCCCTGGAAGGGATTTTAAACTGATGTCAGATTACAGCACAATGACATGACAAGAGGACACACTGCATTGGGTTCTCTCTCAACTTTCTGACTCGCACAAAACATTAGTACAATAGTAAACTTCCCAGGATCTCCTCAGCAACATTCTAAGTGGTCAGCTCTTGACAAGGCCAGAGTGGGAAAAGCCACAGCCTGGACAAGCCTACCAACCCCACTGCTGCCTCAGGTCCCCAAGTCAGCCACTTCTTCTCCACCTCTGCTAGGGAGGCAGGGAGCCCCACAGCCAGGCTTATAGGTGCCCATTCTATTTCAAAGATAGACGAAGAAGCAAGCACACCTTCTCTACCTTGTCTAGGTATGGTTGCATTCTCCAGAATTTCCTGAATCCTCACACCTTCTTGCCCCCACACAAAAGCTCCTACTGTGACCCAGAAATTTTGCCCCTACTATGACCCACCTCTGGACACCAAGGGAGAAGCCCGGGCTGGAGTTCCTTCTCAGAAAGCCAGATCCCTGGCCCTTTGCCCCAGCCCAGCCCTAAGGCTGGCCCTGCAGAGTAGGCAATGCGGGTTCCATTCTGCCCCCCACCCCCTGCGCCTTTGCCCCCTTTGCCGACGGATTGCAAAGCCTGCGGCACTTTTCCTAGACAAAGCCAAGGTTACCTAACCCAGCAAAGGCAGAAAGCCCTGTTCCCCAACCCAAGCACCAACCCGCCCGGCCATCTCGTTCCCCTCGCCGCCCAAAAGCTCGCAGGATGCGGGGTGCGTACACTTGAACACGAACACGGTGACTTGGACCACCTTAAAATTATCACTGGGCGCAAAGCAAAACTGAGACTGCAAATCTGAGCAGGAAAAAGGAGGCTCTGGGGTCGTGTTTACGAGCTGCAGGTCTCCTTTGCGCTCTTTTGTTGTGTTTCAGGTCTAGCTCAGGAAAAATAAAACCGGCAAGCCTTTCCTCTGCCCGGGCGCCATCAGCGAGGGGCCAGGACTGGCGGGGAGGGCCGGGGCAGCGGGGGAGAAGCGGGGGTTATCTCAGGGCTGAGATCGCCCCTCTAAAAACCAGGCGGAGCAGCACCTGCCAAGTCGGATGCCCGCCTCCGTTGCCAGGGCTCGGCGCTGGGCACCGGGGCGCTCCCTCTCTGCCGGGTTCCCGGGCTGCGCGCCCCGCTGGGGTGGCAACTCTGCTCATACCGACCTTTGCTTTCCTTCTCCTGCACTTCAGGACTGGACACGGAGACCTCAGCCAGGCAGCTCCTCTCCTCGGGAAGGCCGCCTTTGGCCTCGGGGCTCTCCACCTGGGAGACTTTGGTGGGCTCCTGGCCGCTCGCCGGCTCGTTCATCTTCTTTTCCATCTGCAGCTGGGCAGCCGAGAGCTGCGGCTTGGCCGCGCCACGAGGGTTGAGCTGGAGCATGACAGTGGAGCTGCCTTCGGGGCTGTTATTGTACTCTTGGGTTTTCCCGGTGGCGTAGGTCTGACTCAGTCTAAAATATCCAGGGACGGGAACCTCGGGGTTCTCAACGGGACAGGACTCAGGGACCAGCCTCTGGTACGAAGGGACCTCGGCCGAAATGAGTTTGTTGCGCTTATCAGAATACATGCAGCAATTGGATTCTTCCTTAATGTTGGTGGTGAAGGAGCAAGTGGGGACTTGCTGTGTAACAGGTTGCTCTATTCGACAAGATCTGTTCGGGTCTGTCCAACTGTCTACTTGAGGTATATAAGGATGCACATTCATACCCATATTTTGGTGGTTCACTTCTCTTTTGGCCAGAGACGGGAGCAGTCCACAGGTTTGCATTCCATAGGTCCCCATGTCTGCGCTAGGTGGTGGCATGTACATGCTGGCGCTGCTCGAATAAAAACTGTCACTCCTGCAGGCACTGATCAAGGAATCTACTAAAAAAGTATTAGCAGCAGGAGAGCTGTTGGGAAAGGACATTTTGGGGAGGAATTTGAAGAAGAGAGATTGTGTCCTTTGTAGGCTGACATCTCTAGGAAAACATTCCCCGTGTAATTGTGGATGCCTCTGCCGACCACATGACAACCAAGCCAATGAGATTTGAAAATGGCCTTGAGCCGCAGCCTCCTCGCAGGTCACGTGCTCCAGAGCCCGGCCGGCCGGCCGCGTAAGCACGGACAACAGCGACATCTACTACGCGCCCGCGATAGTGCGCGCTGGAGACAACCGGCCCAGCGCTCTCCGCCGCCCGCCGCCCGCCCGCCCGCCTGCCCGCCTGTCCGCCTGCCCGCCTGCCCGCTCCAGGGCTCGCTCGGCCCACCCGCCCCACTCGCGTCCTCCGCCCCGGCCACTGGGCCCCGCCGGGGGAAGGAAAGCCTCGGTCCGAAGGGCCTCAGGTGGACACGCACGGACGAGAAGGCAAACCAGACTGCCCTGGCGCCAGCACACAGAAGCATTCCCCCCGCACACACCCAGGCAGAGCGCGCCCAAGAGGGTCGGGTCCAGGACAGAGGGTGGGGGCGCAGGATGGTTAATGTAGTCCCGGGCAGCCGGGGAAGGTGAGTCGGATTCGGCGGACCCTGAGACGTCCCACCCCAGGGTCCCAAGGAAAGACCCCTCGGCGCAAAGATGCGACCAAGGTGTCTCGGGGAGCGGAGGCAAAGAGGGCCGCGAGGGCCGAGAGGCCACGCGACTGGCCGGTCCCGGATCTCGGAGGATGGGCCCGGTGCCGGGCCGTCCTCCCCCTCGACTCTCCCGCCCGGGCTCCCTGCCCCTACGCGCCCTGGCGGGCTGCAAGAACCTTCGGCTCGCAGAGGAACCACACCCTGACCTCTGCGGGGCCGGGCCGCTGGGAGCTTTCAGCCCGGAGACAATCCCTCGCCAGCAGTTCGCTGTCCGCGAAAGCGTCCCTTTGGCTCCCAGCGGGAGAGCTAAGCCAAGGTTTTCCTCACCATACCCTGATAATAGAGGGCAGAGAGGAAGAAAAGAAGGGAAAAAAATATTTCAAAGAAAAGGAGAAAACTCTGACCCTTAGACTCCAGAAGTTTTAGAAAACTGGGCCACGCAGGAAAGAGAGAAATGCAAAGGTGTCATTTGGTTCTTTCTGCAAAGAAAAATATGTTTTCCTTTTATGGATTTTGTAAAAGCATTGGTTTCTGACAAGTGCGAGGTACAAAAGGTTGGGGAATTTATTAATACATATTAAGAAGAATCAGGGCGATCAATAAAATTCTCATCTACATTCTTGGGCTACTTGGTAATTTTCTTGCTTCTGAAGGTTTTTAAAGAGTTATACCCGCTGTTGCTACACACGGGAAGATATTTTATTAACAAATCAATCGAGACTTTGTAAAGGATAAGATTAATAGTTAAGATTTAGCATAATGGCGTTCGCTTTATGAATTATTGAAAATTATACTATTGATTTTCCCCCTTCACTACTAACCAAGAAGGTCAATTTTTGTTTTAACACAAATTGTCAAATATTAAAAGCTTTACTTTTGTCAGAAGTTGGGTTTTATAGTTTTGGACAATTCCTAAAATCATTTGACAAGGCTTTGCTTGGGTAAGGGAGGGGAAGGAGGTGGGGGAATCTTAGTCCACTGTTTCCTTTGGTGAGGGAAAGTTCTATAAAGAGGATATGGTCTGAGGTTGTGGTCCAGCTCATTAAAGAACCACCACCACCACCATCATCTTGGAAACTATGAGTTTTATGAGAAACTTCAACAACTTCCTTTCTCCTACTCTGGTTGCAGGCGGGTGAGCCGCCCTGCGGAAGCCCCGGCCTCTGGGCAGCAGCGGGGAGCTTTAACCTTGATTTCCAAAGACTTGCCCAGGGTGAGGGGCTGGCCAGGGCTCGGAGCCGTCCTTCGGCCTTCCGGATTCCCTTCCTGCCAGCCAAGAGAGTAAAACATCCCCAGAAACTCTGACCGTGAACCAGTTCTCAGTCCAGGAAGGCATCCGCGTTCTCTTCTCCCCACACTCGCCCCGGCATGAGCTGGCCTTGGATTTCAGGCCCAGAGACTGAACTTGTGGGCAAATTGGGTTTCCGCCTCATCAGAACATTTCTTTGGGGCCCATGCTCGTTAAAGTGCCTCAGCTTTCTGGGGGACCTAGTAGCCTGCCGCTCCTTCACAAAAAAACCTTTCCCAACAAACCCTTTGTCCCCCTTACCAAAAAGGAATCTCCCCTGGCCTGGTGAAAACAGGCACTGAACATTATTTTCGGCCTTGGGACCGCTTCGCTTGTCTCCTCTCAGTGCCCTCACCCGAACAATAACCTCTTTTAAAAAACTCCGCGGTGGCAATGAGACAGACCTTTTAAACCTTTACGCAGCTGTTCAAATACAACATCATTGTCAGGTTAAAAGCCTGGCGCCTCTAACTGCTCTGGCTGCAGCATCCCAGCATAGCCCAAGGTTTAAACATTACCTTTCCACTGGGGTGGCTGTTTTTAGGTTTGAGGGTGGGAGTTGAGGAAGGCAGAAAAAAAAGAAAAAAAAAAAAGAAAAGAAAAACAGCCTAACTTTTGACTCTAGGCTGCTAAGGTCCTGTTCAAAGCTAACAGTCACTGACCAGCGCCCTGAAATTTACTTTCACATCGTGCAGATCTTGTTCCGAGCCAGAGCCACCGCTAAGCATGCCCAGGGCCAGACAAAGTGCCCGCTGCACTCGCTCGCGGCAGGCGCCCTGACGCCAGCTTGGCGCTCCAGCAGCGTCTCCCCTTTGCTTCTCCACCAGAAGAGCTGCCGGGAACTCGTTTGCCCAATTTTCTCTATCCCAGGCGAGGAAAGACTGTTCAATCTAATCAGGAATTTTATGCCCATCAAATGCCCTTTTATAATCTTTATTTATACATGAAGAAAACATCCAGGCTAAAAACAAGCAATTCCTTGCAGCGGGTAGGTCTGCCGTGAGCCAGGACAGGCAGGATGTGTCTTTCGAATTTGAGGGACTTTCTATTTCAGCTCTCAGAAGCTTTGAGCTCAAAGACACCCCCACGTTGGAGTAGGTTTTAAAAAGGTCTAATCTATTCACAGAAGAAAAAAGTATATATCAGATGTCATTTCAAATCTGTTCGCGCAAAATTCTGTTTCCCTTTTTGAAATTCTGCATCCAGACTGGTCCCATGAGACCAGAGATTGTCGATATTTGGGGAGATTTTATCATTAAAAAATTGAACAAGATAAAAATCAAACAAAAGAGTGATCTGGGGCCGAGAGGATGGAAAGTGTGCCTACGACCCTAAGGCTGAGATGAAACAAATGGAATGAAGAGGCAGTGGCTCTAAAGGCCAGCCTTTATTTTGCTTACGAGTATTTAATGTAGCTGCTGTTTTCTATCATCTTTAGATCAGTTGGAGCAGTTACCATTAATAATAAATCAATAGTGCACCATAAAAGAGACGAATATCCATATTTGTACCAAGATGCCCCCCTCCCTGGCACAGTGCTTTCCAGAGAAAAATTAAAAGCAAGAAATCAGCATTTGTAATCAAAAAGTGGCTTGCATCTTGTCCCTGGGAAGGAGACCGGTGGCCTTGGGCCTGAGTGGACCTGGGGACTCTGAGGGTCACCCTGAATTAGGGTTCCCGAGCCACCTCTGATCTGTGCCACTCTTTGGGGGCAGAATGGAGGGGAGCAAATTAAAAGCTGCCTCCCCAGAGTGCTCCTTCGGGTTGCACTGGGCACCGCCTGGCCAAGGGGAAAAGGAGTGGGAAGGGGCAAACGGGAGGGCGACCACCAAGGCGATAAGGGGGTCTACCGAGACGTGCAAAAGGGCCAACGGCGAGAGCCTTTCTGTACAGACACAAAAGACTCCTACTTCCAGCAGTTTCCCTCCACTCCAGAGTCTGAGACATCGGCGCTCAGGACCCAAGACCACCTTTCGCAAGCCCCACACGTTCTGAACGTGGAGGCGGGGAGGCGCACGTCTTCAGCCCCTAGAGGTCCCGGTCCCATCCCCTGGCCCTTGCCAGGCCCTTCTTGGGCGCTGCCGGTAGAAAAGGAACTGCAGACGGCTGAGCAACCGCGGTTCTCAGGCGGTTTCCTGCCAAGGCCAAGGGGCCCCAAGCAGCCAGATGTACTGCCGCTGGAGCCGCCTTGGAGGAACACAACGACATTTGGGGAGGGAAGTGCTCACCCCACATACACTGAGGACCTGGTTTGGGCCGGGGGAAAGGTCTCTTCACACAGCTAAACTGGACCCACCGCCAGACAGCTGGAGCGGGGGATGCCCGCGGGGAACACCCACGCCTCTCGCTGGCGCCTCGCCGGGGGCTCCTGACGCCCCAGCCTCCGCGCCAAGGCCGATGCCAGCCCCCAAAGGTGGGCGGGCGGGCCCTAGGGCCTTTGGTCCAGGGCTTGGAGGACGGGACACAGCGACAGGGGAGTCAAGGAGGCTGGTGCTAATTCTGGGAGCTGCAGGCTCTTCCCAGTGAACTTCGGGGGTCTGGAGACAACCACCTTCCCTTAAAGCGGCTAACGGCCTGGAGTCCTGTCCCTCCCTTTTGGACCACAGACGGGGACACAGGCCCTCCCCAATGTCAGGGGCTTTGTTGGGGTGGGGAGGACACGCAACGAAAGACAATACTTCTCAGAGCCGAAATCAAACTCCGCGCGCCCCAAGATCGGCGGGCAACTAGGAAGGATGGCCAGGGTTCTGTCAAACGCAAAGCCCGTTTGCTTCAAATACATTCTCCGTTCCGCGACGCCCTGAAGTATACACGTTTCCCAGGAGAGCCTGCTGCCTACCGTGGCCGCATCAGCCATCCTGGCCCAGGCGCCCCAATTCGCCGCCCTGCCCGCGCCTCCGGGTCGCCGCGGGCAGCCCCGCACATCCAGGCACTGCCCCGGGCTCCCAATCCCAGAACGACTTCTCTCAGTCTTCCCACGCGTCTTACTATTATTTTTTTTTTCTGAGACCACATTCGGCTAAGTTGCCGGCGCCCTGATCTGTTTTAAACAAAAGCCTCTTAATTATCCCAGGCGGTTTGAGAGCGGGTAAGGCGATTGCGGGTCCTTTTTGGGGGGTGGGGGAATCCAGCCCTCGACATCCGTCTCCACACTCAAACCAAGAAAATGGATTTTTCCTAATTTAATTAACATGCAGTGGTCATGGCATATTTCAAAATGCATGCAAACATCTTTTAAAACTCTTCTCCACACCATCAGGTTATACCAAGGTATTCTTTGCAACAGCTTTATCTTTAAGGAAACAATGATTAGAATGGTCTGTTTCATGAATCTGGTCGCTCCCTCTTCTGTCTCTACACAGCTTCTCACACCTCATGGCTACTTAGAGCAAACAAACAGCAAACACCTTAGCAGCCGCCTGTGTCTAACTGGCTGAGGTCGCCTCTTGGAACCCAGTACAGTATTGGAAAGATAAGGTACAGCGGCCTCTCGGGCAAACGCGGCTTCTGGAACGTGAGCGCGCCCTCGTGTGGATCTCCAGGCCCCTGCAAACGGGAGATGGTATATCTCTCGGTTCGGCTTGCCTACGGTGGTGGGCACACAAGCCCTGCTATATTTAGACGAAGTTTAGAAAAATAGAAATAGGTGGAAAGGGAAGGAAAGAAACCAGTTTTAAGCTTCTGGAACGATTATGCCATTAGGGCACTGATATTTTAACCAATGCCCAGAATTCCAAACAAAGGAATCAATCCCCTTATTAACGAAAATTTTTGGCTGTAGGCTTTGTTTCTATTGTATCTTTTATCAAAGGTCGAGGGACGCTTTTAAAAACAATATAAATATATTTTCTTTTGTTCCACATTATAGAAGTGCAATAATTTATTTGACATGGCGGCAAATTGCTTTCAAACATAACGAAGTTGTAAGTCTGTACAGAACTTCCTCTTTCAAATGTCTGCTTTCAAACCTGCAGTCCTTCCTTAGAGCAAAGGGGACCACTATCTGAGACCCCCCAAAATATACTCAGCATTTTCTAGCTGTAGTGAAACATGCTAGTAGACATTTTAAAACTAACTAGTATTTTTAAAAGAAGTCAATTGTTAATGCATTACACAAATGTTTGCAGGGAAATCAAGGTTATTGATCCTGAAATTAGGAATTTTCTTAGATTTGTGGTGAGTTCTTGATATGACTCTGTGTGGTCATAAACGTGTGTGGGGGTCTGGATATGTGTGAGTATGTATGTGTGAGAGTGGGTGGTAGTTGAAAATTACAGAGGAACCTTAAGGCGCCTAATTATTCAGAAAGGTTAAAGGTGATGACCTTGACATTTTGGAAGTTCAAAGGCATACACTTTTGCACTTATTTTTTTCCTTCCCAAAAGAAGCCTTAGCAATTTTTAAAAAAATTGTATTGCAAGATACATGGCTCCTTGGAAAATACACGGGGTACAGTGCATTTATGGATTTATATTTTGACTTTGGGCTTATGAGAGGTTAAGAGTCATAAGACTCACTTCACTCTTTTCAGAGAAAGAGAAGCTTTTCTCACTTCTCCAGTTTATTGCACATTGCGGAAATCTCTTTTGGGCCCACCAGAAGGTGTATAATATAACCCAATTAAGCTGTTTAGAACTTTGGCTTTTATGGTGTTGTCTAGACAGTTCAAGGTTTTGTAAACAGCCTGGCCTGGCCCTGCAACATAAAGTGCAGTGCAGCCCTCACCACATTCTTTAACTTGAAGCGATAAATGCAGTGAGAAGCGGGTCTGCAGCCCTGCTCCTATTCCAGTGGGGGTGGGGAGGACACATTACCTTCCCTGTTTCAGGTCCACTAGGACACCAGCAAGGACCTCATGCCCTCTCCACACAGATACCTTCCCTTTAGCAATATTTTTTTTTTCTTTCCCAGTGGCAAGTTCTATTTTTGGTTTCTTCTTTTAGAGACCCTGGCTCCCTGTCACCTTGTTAGGAAAGAATTTTGGATATTCTAACCAGTTTTTAAAGATGGTTATTGTCTTTTCAGAAATTCCAAGTTCACTGGACTGGAGGTGGGGGTGGGGATTTGCTTCCTAAGGTCCTGCTACTCCAGCCTCATTGCCTGGTGAAGGCGGCACCAGCATGGCTGGCTCACGTCTTCAATTCAGAAATTCATCACTGACATTATTTTTAAAAGCAGTGTAACCTAGAGAGGGTAGGAGGGAACAGCTCCTAAATTAATGGAAATAAAGAGTATTTCACTCAATCAGCTGCATGAGGGAGAGGGCTCTGGCCACTCAAATACCCTAAGCAGGCACTAAACTTCAAAGAGGAGAATTCATACAGTGTATTGATGCTGTAAACCTCCATTTTTACTAGAAACCATTTATTCACACAAAAAAGACAGTGACTCATGCCTTGATATGACAGACCAGAGGTACATTTCCCAGAGTTTAAATAATCTGCTTTCATCGAAGAGGAAGGAAGGAAGGGGTGTCTCAAACTCAGAACAAAACGCCAGCGCCTTCTAGCCCCGGGGCCTAACTCTCTACAGATCCCGCCGCGTCCCCGCGAGGACTCGGAAAGGGAGAGGAAGAACAACAGCACATTGGCGGTAAAATTGTAAAGGGACGTTTGCATTTACCATTTTCCCCTTATTAGGATCCGCTCGGCCAAGTCCCCGGCCTCGTCCGCAGGCTGCAGTGGTCGCTGGGAGGTCCCGAGTTGACCGTGGGAAGGAAGCGTGAAGTTCCACAGAGAGGAGGCGTCATTAAACCCAAGGACTTGGGGCCTGCGGAGGGCAGGCTGGTGGGGAGGAAGATGGGTGAGTGGGGCTGGGGGCGGGGGCGCTTCCTGGAGCTCTCAAAACAAGGGGTTTCCAGTGAAGTACTGCAGACGGTCCCTGTTCAGTTTCTTTTCTTTCATCCTGCGATTCTGGAACCAGATTTTGACTTGCCGGTCAGTGAGGTTGAGCATCCGAGAGAGTTGGAGTCTTTTCTCTTTGTTTATATACACGTTAAAGAAAAACTCGCGTTCCAGTTCGCGGATCTGGTACTTGGTGTAGGGACAGCGCTTTTTCCGGGAACGCTGGGGGGCCGCTGCAAGGCAAAGAGACCAAGGGGGTGAGAGAGGACGGTGCCTGCCAGCCACCCTCCCGCCCAGGCCACTGAGAGAGGGCCCGGCCCTGGCCCCGTTGGGGACGTCCCCTGCCGCCGCTGAAAGGCCCTGCCTGCGTCGTGGGGGATGATATATGGGCGGGCACAGGAGAGAGTGCGGGCGTGGACGTGTATTCACGCCCGGACACACACACACACACACACACACACACACAGCCTGGCACCGAGGTGGGGAAGCAGAGGGCGAGGCGGGCTCTGGACTGGAACCCGAGGGGAGAGAGACACGCGCGCGCCCGCCGGGGCATC